CTGTGATAAAGAAATAAACTTTAATACAGGAAGCCCAGTAATCACTGAAGTCTGCAGTGCATCCTGGAAACTCATCAGCCTCAGAAGAACAGCAAAGACTGGAAATTTACTAAAATTAATTGATTTTATTAGTTACAATGGACTTTAAACCACATTTGATGTTTGTCACGGTGGAAATGATGTATGCAAACTGTTTACAGCTGATCATCTGCAGGCAGCACAGCTAAACTTAACCATAATATCACAAAACAATACAAGAATAACCACAGTAACATATCATGAAAAATAAAGCAAATGCTGATAAATGAAGGGATGTTGATGATGAGTTACATGTATATAACCACAGCTGTTTAGACGAGTGATCAACCTTTAAAGTCGCCCTCCAGAGACCAAAGAAATCCCTCAGAGGAGTTACACAATGGCCTTAATGATCGACACTATTTTGGTCTTTAGAAAGTTCCACTCAGCCTTAAACACAATAATAAAGAGCAAAGCTGTCCTGCCTCTGAAACTGAATCAGTAAAGATCCGCCGCCCACCAGCTGATGGAGGAGTCAGACTGAGACGTTTAAGTGTCTTTTACTGTGTAATTCAAACTGTAGATTGTCACTTAGATTTACCATGACTCACAGGAGGACCTAATGGGCTTAGTCATGCACATCTGGAGCAGCAGAGGTAGAGAAGGATTGTGGGAAAGTGAGTCTTTTTATTAGGCCACATATTTTCACATTTGTAAGTCCCCAGACAAGGACTGGGGGTGAGGCAATAGTAAAAAGCGTGAAAAGAAAGAAGTCATATGCAGCAGTTTGTATTAATAATATACTTTTATTACAAAGGTCCTCCAATAACTGAAAACAAAGCAATAATTTTAAAGTATATAATTGAGAAACAAAGAAAATGATTGCTTTATTTTCAGGGCAGCATATTGGTTTGGTGGGTAGCACAGTTTCTTCCCAGGAAGAAGGTCCTGGGCTTGACTCCACCAGGTGATTGGAGCCTTTATGCATCTTTTCCCCATGCCTGTCTAAAGACATGCATGTTAGGTTAAATCAGCTGTAGGCGTGAATGGTCTCTGTGTTAGACCTGTGATAGACTGGTGGCCTTTCCAGTTTGTAGCCTGCTTCTTGCACCGTGACAGCTGATGGTTGGTTAATTTTCTCTCCTTGGTTCATGGCTTAGATTATGAATAGTAACTGTTCTCTGACTGTAACTGCACTGGAACCACTGGTGTTACCTTAAAACTATACACTGAGGACCTGTGGGGACAAGCACTGCAAAGGTTAAGCCCCACCGAATCAGTTCAGCCCTCTAGATCTTTCTATAAACCAAAATGACCTTCATAATAATGTGTTAAGACTTGGCTGCTGAGTCAGCGAAACGTAAAGTCATGCCAGCTTTAAGGCAGCAGTTTTTACTCATTGCCTTATTTCTTTAATGTTCTGCAAAGTGTTCCATTTCTAATTGGCATGTTTAAAATTTGTATTTATTAAATCATTTAATATAATGTCAACAAAAGCTTTTTTATTGAGGGGCTTAATCTTCAAACATACTCATACGCACACATCTCTAATGAGACACACTTTACTTTCATGACTGGATATCCTATATCATTTCATTTTGCTGTCACCTCACTGTGACTGGCTCTGAGGACACATTAGCAGCACTGCCTATCATTACAGCCTCAACACTAAAAATACCAACATTAAAACTCTGCATCCTTAACTATTTTTCAACACTTTTTTTAACGAACACGTAACATGCTAAATATCACATGTATGACAGATATGGAGTCACCTGTGACTGCGGCACAAGACAAGAGATGTCTGAATATTTTTTGAATGCTATTTTCTTT